ATTTATCCAGAAATGTGCCTCGCGAGCTTAACTGTGTACGGTGGAGTTTTTGTCGCTAGCGAGTTTCTCAGTCGCGCGAACTCTGCACTTGTCGCGACAAAAAAGTTATTTATTCATCGACACGTCGACAAAAGATGCGCACGGCTTATGATGCAGTCGGATATAATCGCATTTATTGCGCGCACTGTTCTTACCTTAAGTAATTACTGCAGCACTCGGGCAAATAATTCTCGCTAATCCTCGCAATAACGAAGAGATGAAATTCACGATAATTTGTGATCGCGATAAAGTGTGATCATGGGAAAAACATCATTGGATACACATATCAAAGATTATTTGTGTATTATGAATGTGCGCGAAGTGCCATTCTTCTAAAAGAACTTCTGTAACTTCGCTTTGTAACGCGCCGCACTGCTAGTTACGTCGCCTCGGCGACCTACATTTTCTCTATCTTACATTAGTTCTCGCATTTCTCTGCTCTGCCATTCGTTATTTCGTTTCCGTCTGCCATCCTCGCTTTCTTTCCTTTGCGGCGCCATCATCCTTTCTCCGATTTATCGACTATCGAGCTGCATGGATTTCGACTGCCAAACGATGGCATTAAGGGCGTCGCTTTGCTCCGACAAAGTGCCCCTCTTTGCTCCCAGTGTACGTCTTATTTTTATTCCCTTTTCGATTTCTCGTGTAAATGTGTGTATAACATGGCTCGCCCGTTCACGACCGTTGTGTAAAGTATCGTTCACTCTGTGCAAGTATTTGTATCGTCTAAATCAGAGCAGTTTTTAACAAATGCGCTTTTCTCTCGGCGATTCTTTTTTTTCCTGCGCTTCGTTGTCTTCGTGTCGATTCGAATGGTCGCTTATCCATTCACGTCCATCGAGTCATCGTCAGCCCGCTACTTTCCTTTCGACATATGCCTGGAAATGGCAGCTGTCGCATCCGCTGTCAATTATCGTGCCGTGGATTCTAAAAGGTTGGCTTTACCACCGCATCGATTCCGGTTCGACATTGATCGCCGCGCATCTATAGACTCCTTTTCTCGGTTCTCCTTTCCATGTGATTGGAATTATAATAATAGGACGAGATTACATCAGATTCATTATGGGGGAAAAAATTGACAAAATTGTCGACAGAAAGAGAGAGAGAGAGAGAGAGAGAGAGAGAGAGAGAGAGAAAGAAAGAAAGAGAAAGAAAGAAAGAGAAAGAGAAGCTCGGAGATTATTAATGATTACTTTTTTACGCTTGAGTGCGTGATTGCTTTGATACTGTCTGACAAGTTTGATGGTATTTCTAATTTGAATCTTTCAGTGGAATATCAACATGATTATACCACAAGTTCTTAATGTATGTAATTACTTTTCGAAAAAAAAGAGAAGGCTAATCGCGTATTTATGTGCACGGACGAGATAAACGAGATTTGTCAGTGACAAATCAAATTAAATCTGATGTTGGAAGAAGGAATTAGATCTGGACTCGTAATATACCGTACGATGTCCTCGATCATTAATATTCGTGGCCCGAATACAAGTTCATCGAGTTATCTGAAGTAGGTCGCGGAACTGGTTTTGGCGTTCTCGGTTATTTAGCAAGCAGTCGGCCACAATGGAAAGGTTCTTGCGCAAATATTAGACACTGCGCAAGAGTCGCGGGAACAATGCTGGACTGATAACGTGTCGAATTCTGCACGCACTTGAAAATGCGAAATGTTAATCGAACGTTAATCGCCGATGTGTATCCCGATGCGCGCGTTCGGCGTGCCGTCGAAATTGCACCATAAATGAACGACTCGCGTATTCGAACAATTCCTCATCGTGTTTACTTTGGGCTATTCTGGACAAAATCAAATTGCCAATCACACGGGCGACGGGGCCGATAGTATATTGAAAATTCGGCGCGGACAATTCCTATTGTCGTCGGAACGTCGCGCGGAAAACCGTGTGATCGTCATGATTGGTAGATTTCAATCTGCGAAGATTGCTCGTCGTAATTGGTAGATTTCTCGTTTGCACTCGACTCAGGGGAATCTGATAATTACAGCGTGAAATTCAGCTTTAATGCAAGACGTACGCGTCGCGATGATTTCTCAATCATTGCGGAATTCGTTTTCATAAGTTATCTTGTAAATTTAAATGGCGAGATGAAGAGAGTCAGCCGCCGATCCCTGTCGAGCTGGCCCTCTCACCTTGCACAAATAAAAAAACCAATAACGCAAAATTATAAGCTATTTATGAGCTTTCATATTCCGCAAATTAAAATTTTTGAGCTCGTCACGCTGAGCATGAATTTAATGTTTTTCGTGGGGAAGGGCTGAGTCGATATCGGCGGCACCGCCGTTATATTCTATCGCCTAAAAGACAATGACCGATGCTCGTAAGATTCGACGTTGTGTTTTGTTTGCTCGATCGTTGACTGTTTATTACCTCGACCGTTCATAACATCACGAAAACACAATTTTCTCGCTTTTATATTATATTATATTCCTATAACAAATTTTTGTGAGACGAAAATAGTGAAGAAACTATGCGATTATTTTGTTAAGAAAAAACTGAAATTTTATATTTTGGAAACTTCCGAGTTTATTTTTAGACTTAACAAGATCTTCGTTCTGAGGACGGAGATAGATGAGGTTCACCTCTCTTGCCAGAGCGGATTTCTATTAAAGGTCCAGATGCGCAGGAACGGTCGCAGTCATTCGCAATGTAATGCAGAGTGACAATCAACAACCGGCTAATTGCGCATTGTTCACGTAATGAAACTCTAAAAGGATTACGCGTACTGATCCTCGCGTCACCGGTCCGTGTTGCTCAACATTCGTCACATCGAACGAGCTTCGATATTCCACTTTACGAAAATTTCACGTAAATTGTTTGCAACGTGTGCGAAGCGCGCTTCGATTTGACAAGCTGCTCTAATAATTCATGCAATTTCGTATCCAAAATTAAAACATGCGACTGTAATTCCCGTTCGCAAATATTTTTCCAAATTGTATCTTCGTTGAAATGCTTCGCGATTCGACAGAAAATGTTACATACAAAACAGTCATTAATTTGGAAACCTCTTTCAATTGCATCGATGCCGCATTAATCTACGAAATTACGCGGAGCTTTCGTATTTTTATTCCGTTTCGAATGTTTGTAGAAATGATTGCAATTCACTGTTTTTTTTTACATTATGATATATTGCGATATGTTGTCTAACACATCAAAGAATTCAATTGTTTGATAATTGATTGATTAACGATTGTCCACAAATATACCAACTAGACGAGAGAATTTCTTTAACTTATAGTTGTAGATGCAATCGCGATAATGAAGCAACGCGCCTCAAACCGGAGTTGATTGCATTTGATACTTTAATATCCAGTATCAAAATTGTAACATGTTGTTATACGTTGTTACTAGAACAACTTCATGGCGACGTTATACGAGGGAGGAACTCGAACAATTTGATGCACGTAATTAATATCCTTGCGGTTATACATCTATACGTCTCGCTTACATTGATCGCTATCCTCTCGTAGATACGCGCTGTAAAAGCGTCACCCGTTATACATACATACATACATACATACATACATAGAATATATATATATATATATATATATATACACACACAACATTGATTGAACGTTTCCCCAGTTTTCGCAGTGACCGAGAGTTACCAGGTGTCGACTTCCGGAACTATCGGTTATCCGAGCTTTTCCCTAGATTGAATATTCAAATTAGTTGTTGTGTTCAAACCACGAGGAAATATATCGCTTTTCCGCTTAATTTTGAGCGTAATGCTGCCGGTAACGACAGAGAGATCAAAGGCCTCGAAAAAGCGATACGAGAGAAATTTCTTCCTTTATCTCGTTCGGGTTTTTGTAATGTATCTATTATATATTTCTTTAGTCCGCCACGTTCGTTTACATCCGTCAGATTCGCAGTCCCCATTTAGTTTATGAATTCCGCGGTAAGATGTTAAGACAAGCTAAGCTTTGCAGACTAAATTATGCTTTACGTTTTATCCGAGTGGATAAACACTTAAAATGCAATTATACTTTATTCTTTTGATATTGTCTTATAAACAGATCCTCGCGTCGTCTAATGTAAATTTAATGACAAAGGGACTTATATAATCAATAAGTAATTATTACCCGATGCGAATATGAAGGAAATGCTGTTTTATTTTATTTTATTGTGCGTCTATTATTTTCAATTTAATATTGCAACGGATTTTAACAACAGATACATATTGAATTCGTTATGCGGATAATTCATGACATAATAATTTAAATATAATTTTACATTGAATATCTTGCGAGGTTTCCAATTTTATGCTACTATTCAATCAGCGTATGAATTATAAGGTTTCCACGAGTAAGTATTTATCTGCTGTATCCATAGCTTTATATCCTTTCGCATGTATGATGCGTACAAATATAAATGCTGCATCAACCAACGTTTAGACTCTGGTCGCGTTCTCATGTTTGTACATTATAATCATCACTATATGACACAATGACCAATCAAATTCTCGCATTTCTAGGAATAATAGATATATCAAATGGAAAATTGATTGGCTATCATGTCTACAAACGTGACCATATGTGCAACAAAGTCCATCAAATGTAAAAATATAATCATCTTATTTTAGATATAATAAATGTAATTATTATGTAATATTTTAGATAAACGTTAGTAATATTTAAGCTAAACACAGTTGAGCATTATCGAATAGGAATATCGAGGAGAATATGTCAGAGAAATGTATTTATATACATTAAATTTGTATGAGAGGTTTAAAAAAGAAACCACTTTACATATTACGCAAACATGAGTCTGTCAAAACAGCCGAGTAGTTGCATACAAAAGTAGCGGTTAAGTAGTTAGGGTTTTTCCACACTTTAGCTACCTTGCTTCTGATACGTTGAAACCAAAATCTGGTATATTTTTCAATTCAGTTGACACATAATATTTATGCGTCCTGACAATATTGCCGCAGTACTATTACGGATACCGTAGTTTCGTATCCAGTATATTCGAGTTTTAGAAACAGAAAGCGATTTTCGAACGATTTAACATCGGAGTGCTTTTGAGCTTTGATTTAACCGTCGAGGAGAGTGAAACGAATATTATTTACGGTGTTGGTGCGATTTGTAAGAAGATTTAAGTTAAACTTATTCAACATGGCCGATGAAAAGCAGGCGTCTTGTTCGCCCGAGGATTGTTCCGATAAAATTGAGGTCTCTCAAGATTTCGTTTTTCCGATATTCAAGCCCTTCTCACCGGCGAATGAATATTTTTCCTCGATTGAATACTTGTCATTGCCGGAATTCGATTCGCCGTCTCGCGTGATGCCGAAAACCTCGAAGAAAACGTTCCTGAACGAGAAGTCTAACGGTGGCGAGTGCGAAACACTCAAAAAGACGGCTGAAGAGAACGATATCGAATTCTTGCGCTATAAGAACTCGCGAATGTCCTATTGGACATGCCGTTCAGAAATGGACTTTGCAAGACCAAAATACCGCAATAACGTAAGTCCTGCGATCGAAAATCTTATCCGGATAATGGGCATACCGTTCTTGTTGACGTCTGAGGACTCGCGGACACCGATGAAACGCGCCTTCTCATCTGGTATTTTCGACGGCAGAATAGCTTACGACGATTACGCACTCTTAAGTAGGAAACGTTTGGATGCGAGCTTTACCAGCCCGAAGACGCCCGTCTTCACTTCTAGAAGACACAGCGTGAACAGTCGCACGCTGAAGGCGATGTTGATGAAGGAGACCGGTTCCTCGTCATCTCAGCTTGCGCAGAAATTCTTGTCGAGATGTCAATCGTGGGAATCCGTCGATACACCACCGAGTGATGAGCGAGTTGTAAACTCTTCGCGTTATGAAATAAAAGAATCGCCACAGTGTGTCAAGATTGCAGAAAAAGACAAAGAAACATTTCAGGAGACGATTTATGTGTCTGAAATGTACTTCTTGTTGATGGCGTCGAATAGAAATCGTCGGATAAGAATGGCGATGATGAGCAGATCAGAAAGACCGCGAGCAGAGTCGAGGAACAGCGATAGCGCTTTTAGCGAGCTTACGGCTTCCGATCAAGAATAATCGAATTTAAAGTTGTATTCATACGCGTGGACGAGGGACAGCGAGTGAAAATGGAAAATTGAAAATCGATGTTTGCTGTTGACGACGTTGGCTCACATTCTTCACTTCTCGCAAATTAAATTTGTATATGTTGAAAGAGACGATGTATAATTGTGAATAATTAATTCACCACTTTTCATTAATCAGCCGCTGGCAAATAGCAATTCAGCTGGAAGTGATGCTGTCAAATTGCGTTAATTATAATAATAAATTTGCTACTACTAATGATTAACTGGCTGGATTTTTATTTAAATATAGAAGATAATAATATTTTGACAAGCTCGTCAAGCTTATGAATTTTTGATATATTTAATTGGTGTTATTTTTTCTGCAAAATCATGAAGAATATTTTAATCGCACTAAAGTTCGAAAATTTTGGAGTTATAATTCTTGATTTTGTGAATTATAAATTTTTTGTGGTTCTATATTTTGTTATATATAATTAATTTAAACTTGTGAACAATTTTCACTTATTTATAATTGCTTATTTTATAATTGCTATTTTATTGGTTTTAAATATATATATATTTTAATTTATTTATTTGCATTAATATAAAGGAGGTAAAAATTAATCAAATAATTCTACGCTTTTGTTGCATTTATTTAATGTTTATTTCGCTCACAGCATATGTATATGTGCTATGATATTGTATTCATCGTATATTCGTTGGAATTTCGTTGGAATTTGTACGTTCGACTTTATTTTTCTTGGCTGTATTGTTTTTATTGATATTCGCTTTGTCCTAATAACCTCGCAGCGCCTGATCGACAGCGGTGCTTTTCGTCTCAGTCAGTACCTAGCCATCGAACGAAACGGACGTAATAAACACTGAAAAGACGATAATTACATTATTTTACCGAAAGTCGAAGAGCGCTCTCGCAGAGCAACAACTATTCGACATGTCTGATGAGCGACAGGACGTTTTCACACCGAAGAACGCATATCACGAGAGTGTTTCGTTGCGAAATGTGCGCGAGAGTAAATCCAGCGATTCGGAAAACAGGTCGCAGGAAAAGTACTTCACACCGGAATACGAGAAGTTTTTACAATGGAGGGAAAACACTTGCTTCACTTCCGATTCGTCATCAGTGCTAGATATGAGCGACAACGAGAACTCGATGACTCAATGCAGCGAGTCGAGGACTCAATGCAACGGGTCGTTCATCGAGCAGTTTAAATCATTTGATTTGAACTCCCGTAAACGTTCTACTTCGACACCCATAAAAGTAAACGCAGCGAAGAATTCGGAGAAGAGCACGCCCGAGAGAAACGATTTGTCGACGCAGAACTCGCCCATCACGAGTGGCAGAAAAATGGACGCGACAACCGAAACCTTCGTTACTTCTGATTACTCGACTATGTTAGTCGACAATGCTAACTCGGTTCTATCCAACGACGATAGTTTAACGATGATTGACAGTTCGACCGATCAGCCGTCGTCGCTGCGAGAAGCTCAAAACAGCACGAAACACGTTTGCAAGGACGCGAATGCCAACTTAATGCAATCGACTAAGGTTTGTAGTATAATAAAAACGGAGTCCATCCGCTTAGCCAACGAACGGTGGCACTCGACGAGCCGTCTTTCCTGATGGACGAGGAAGTATTTGAAACGGCTCGACCATCGTTACGGCAGAAACGATAATCGAATGTGTTTGTTTCAAATACTTCCTTGTCTTTCAGGCGAGTCGTTTGACGAAGAAGGTGTTATCAATTTCGTTGCGTCGATCGCCCAAACCGAAAAAAGCTCAAAGCGACGCGGCATCAACTTCAATGACGCAAACCGTATCAAGAAGCAATTGGAAGCAAAAAGCGATGAGGAAAAACAAGCCGGTCCAGACACTTCAAGCGCCTCAGCGAGGTAAACGCATTTTACCTAGCGAAAAACGGTCGATCGATAATGATTGCGTGCCGCGCAGCAATAACAACGATTTCAACCTTGAATGCCTAGTGTGTGTTTTCACATCGGTCCAACCGATGTTAAAAGATATTGTCTGCGCTACCTTGTTGTCGCCCACCTGTTAGTCTGCTCTCGCAAATCGTTATCGATTCACGTGACTAAAGAATTATCGTTTATTTATTTATAAATAAAATATAATATAACATACCATGTACATATATTTGAGAATAATTCATAATTTATATATAATTATTTATATTATTAAGTGCACATTATATAATTTTCGATGTTAGTAATCGATTATATCAAAGTTATAACCTAAAATATTTCGCAGTCAAAATTTTTCTCCAAACGTGTCATAATTATCTTTGAATTCTTTACGCGTCGCTATGTAGTCCACAATCGACAAAAAATCTGGTTTTTAGTGACGATGTTGTTTTTACAGCTGCCACCACGCCTGTGTAAATATTTCAGCAAAATAACCGCAAACCGATAGGCGCGGTTGATGATTCTACATTGCGTAATCTTGAACGTCATCAACGAATATCTCGCTGACATTACACAATCGTCTTGCGTAATTAACCGAAATTAAACGCGCGAACGTTTTTATCATGGTTCTTTATTCCATTTTATTGATCTCGTTAAGACTTTTAGATTCGTTCGCGCTTTCACGCAACGACAGGCAGCGCGGAAACGCGAATGCGAAATGAAACAAATGCAATACACTCGAGGGTATTTGCACTTCTGCGTGGCGAGAGAAAATACAACTTTCTAATCCGCTATGTAATTCTTTGCGAATGCAAACTGTGATACAGAATGAGCATGGGAAAACTTGAAACCGTAAATCACTCGCTCGGGCAAGGAGCAGAGGGGAAAAAAACGAGATTACGCATCTCAGCATTTGCAGTACCTTCGTGTAACATGTACATAGTCATTAATTCTTATGAGGAGGGTACGGCACTTAGGTTGGCGCGCGAAGTCGTTCGATCAATATTTAGGCACGGTCGTCGTATGTGCGCGCCGATTTATTTGTGTGACGAATCGCTTTGTAACGCCGCGGTTTTATCTCGTAGAGAAAGGCGTTAATTGTCACGTGGGATTATGACGAAACGGCTCGGCTTTAATTAATGCCGTTGCCGTGCAGCATCGGCAGATAATCTACTTTTTATGCATGCTTACTCGGCTTAAAAATTTATGAGGTACTTATTTAAAAAAAAAAACTGGTTTCTTTTCTAACAGTCACAGAAGACTTTGTATACTCGGCGAGTTTTATAAAGAAAATTATATCTTATAGTTATTTTAAATATTTAATAGTTTAATAGATTTTTTTTCTTGTAAATTTTATTTGAACAATGATGATTATCCTTCTAATTGTTTGTGGTTTATTTTTTTCAGATGTCCCCTTTCCACCGTCGCATAAAATGACAGTGGCAGAAGTCTTCGATGAGCGGACAGGATCTCCGCGGCCGGAGGTCCTGAAGCAACACTTTATTCTCGAAGGCAGGATCGACGAGGCCGCGGCACTTCGTATAATCAATGACGGAGCCGCCCTTCTTCGTTCGGAAAAAACCATGATAGACATTGAAGCTCCGGTCACCGGTGAGTAAAAAATTTTAATTTCTATTAAAGTAAGTTTGTGTGATTTCAACATTAATTATCGTATCAATGATCGTCGTCGGCGACGATCGTGGGGATTCTTTGCGATCTGAATAATATATGCTGCGATGTCGAGCGAAATTGCCTTGATCAACTTGAATGCAAAATATGCATGCTTTAATTAAAATCGAAATTTCGGTCCGCCGTTCGTCGCCACGCGCGCGCCTTTGCTCCTTGATCAATTATCCTTGAATTAAGTTCGTCGCGACAGCCTCCTTTGTGGCGTCCGCTGATTGTTCTGGAAGCGTAGAATAGGAGAACGTAATAAATCCCACTCTCGGCTACTTCGATCGATTCGATCCTATTTCCTTGTAGCTCTCTCCACTGCCCGCCATCATTCTTTTACGCACGCCCCATTGACAGTTATTACTTTCCGCGTCGCCGCGATACAAGTTTCATTAGTGGGATTAATGGGCTACGCGTATCCACTTTTCCTTTTTTTTTCTGAAGAATTTTGTTGACCCATTAACAATTTAACAACCGTTGTAACGTATCTGTGACTTTATTTGCGTGGCCTCTTATTATCTTTTTTTATTATTATCTTGTATTTATTAACATAGTAATTCAGTGTTTAATTAGATCTATCTCCTACCATGTATATTTATTATATTGTGATCGCGCTTAAAGTGCGCACAGCAGGTGAAAGTTTTTGCGTGAAAAATCCAGTCGTCAAAATGTTAACGGATCATTTTTGAAATACCAAAAATATTGACATCCGACCCGAGAGAGAGAGAGAGAAAAATTTACATAAAGTAATATTTTCCAATGTCTGGTTTATTTTTAATTGACAGAATTATTTTTTTTTTTGTTTTGTTAAACGCCGATGAACGATTGCAGAACTACAAAATATTGTTTTCAATTTTCGTGGTCACTATTAATTATAAGATTTTGACAATAGAGAAAATTAAATATTGCGATTAATTTAGAATATATTAAGAATAGCGATTGTTGTAATTTATTTAAAAATTTATCTAAAAATATTCACGTCTCTTCCCTTCTGCTTAAGTGGCGAATGCATTTCTACAACATTTATCAAATTTTGTGTCAATCGTGTACGTGCGCGTTCGTGGCAGCCACATGCTGATATTTTTCACGCAATAATATGCTTGTCGCTCGGAATCGATGGTCAGCGAATCGGCCGTAGAGATTTATTCACGTCGGTCGGCGACTGGAAATCGGTCGTCTCTTTCCTCTTTTCACGCCCGTTTCGCATGCTTTTTCGTTCCTTCGGTGCCTGCCGCGCCATCCGTCGTCCGCGCGTCTGATGCATCCTCTCACGCCGCGGCGTAATTCATCTTTCCGCCCAACTACGGCCACCCTACTACGTCCCAGTCCGCGATGCGGATCCGCATTCGACAACCAGACGCCCGGTGCACCGCAATTTCTCTCTGTCCCCGGCCCTGCTCTTCTTTTTCTCCTCCCTTCGCCGGTAACACGTGTGCCAAAAGCGAGCGGGAGCTTTGCCGCAGCTTGCGCACTAGCTATTATCTCCGACAAAACGGCGACGCGCTGAGAAGCTTCGTCGTCCCCATTGGGACAGATATTTAGATCGGATCCCTTTAACGATCTCCGAACTTTCAGTCGAGGGGAAAAAGTAGGTATATTGACGTGGAAATCTTCTTTGCTCCGAGCTGGTCTGATGAACTGTGGCATATACTGGGTATCAGGGAGTTAATCCGGAATAAGAAAAGAAAATATGAAGCGCATGCTGACCTATTGGAAAATTAATCGACGTCCACCACGTGCCTTGCATTTGAAAGATTGATACGCGCGCGTCCAAAACTATTTATCTTCCTCCCGAAAGACATTATGTGCTTCTTAATTTGACTCGTTTTAATTTAGCTTACTTCAACTCAATTTATAATTAATGCGCTGGACTTGGAAAAAAAAGGTGTACAATTTATCTGGAATTTTTTTCGCATCTTCCTCTCAATAGCTCGCACGATTGCGCAATTAGCGGGCGGATCTAACGATTTTCATTAAGTGTGGCGTCTGAGATTGGTGGCGAGGAGGATCGAATCGCTCTTGGATAATTGGGAAAAGAGCGGGTGGCACATTGGAGTCTTCTTTTGAAGCGGGGTTTCTTTCTGCTCGTACGGCTTCGTAACGCGTTTCTTTGATCGACGTATAACCCTCGATTGTCCACAATCACCAGGCGGCTCAAATCTCACACGAATAGGCGGCTCAAAGAATGGGGTCAATCAGATGACGGCAATTTGTGATAGCAATTTGTGCTTTCACTTCTTTCCAGCGCAACTATATATATCGCGTATTAAAAATACACGTTGATTTCTGAATTACGTCTTTGAAGTTATTATTAAAGTTTAGGATTTTCAAAGATTTTTAGGGGCAGTTCTTTTGAAGTTGAGTCTCTTCTCGAAAAATTTTACAATCTTATCTTTCTGTGCTACGTGTTCCTAGCGAGTTTAGAATAGAAATTAAAATTCTTACATTTATTAGAAAAATTAATGTAATCCTAGATATTCATGTTTTACAATTAATATAAGGTCACAAAGTAAGGTTGCAAAAAAACGACATTGTTTAACGAGGGATTTGCATAGAAATTTTTTTTGGGATAAAAGTAGAAGAATAATATGTATGTATGTAATAATACATATGTGTATATATGATAAATTGAGATTATAGCTGATCGACGTTAGTAAAATCGTCTCTTAACTTCCCATAAAAAATCTTTTTTCGAGAGCCGAGTCGCATCTCATGAACGAACTTTGCGAGTATTCAAATTAATGATAATGGCTTGCTCGAACATGGTCGATTAGTGCGTTTCTTTTCATCGTGAAGAAGTAGCCATTTCCACCGTCCATAGAGCGAAGTGCCTCGTTTCAGCTCTCACGTCCAGTCTTGCTCTCCGTCCGCGTTATAAACCGGATAAAACAGCGCATTACGTTAATCGCTTCGACGTTGCGCTAATATCCTTTTCCTTTTTTCCTGCTCATACAATTTTTTTTACTTCAGAACTAGTACTTTTGTTACGCGCGGTCATGAAGCTTTACTACGGTTCCCGCACTTGCGTTTCATGTCTTTGCGAAATAGAAAAAGTGGTGAAACGATCGAAAAAGTACCGCTATTACCGCGAAAGTTAGTGCCGATCGTCAAAAAGCGTTATCTTAAAGAAAAAAAATACGTAGCCATTGTAAACTAACTTTTTTACATTTTAGCATAACTCGATCGTATCATTGAGCGTAGTTCTACGCGTGGGAGTTTCGTTCGCATTTACATTTAACGTTAAACACCGGCAGTGAATACGAGCTTTTCAATCTAACTTTTTCCATTCGAGATTTCGTACATCGACATTTCAGAGCATCTGAGATACTTATTGTTAGATAAATAAACGCTCGACAAGACGTCTCAGATCGTCGTAACAGCGCCGCGTTATTCGGCAGCAAGCAACGCTCTCTCACTTCGTCCGTTTGGCGAAATGATTTTCTATTTGTTCGCCATGCGGGCCGGCCGTGTATCGGCCGTTTTATTTGGACGTGCGCTCGCGGCAAATAAAACTTTAATTTCGGTAACTCAAACACATCACCGAATACGCTTCGTTTTCGTCGCGATTGTAAATTTGCGCTCGGCTGAAAATCTAATTCACCGCGTTCCCAATCGCGCGTCTTGCGATCGCACGTTATTTAGAAACATAAATTAAGCATTTATCGTCGCCGAGGATTGACACACCGCTCTCTTTTTTTTTCCTTGTTCGCTCTGCGGCAACCGCAACGCGGAAAACCGATTGTCGGCGCCGCGGCTGGATACCCGAAAGGGAACATTGTTGTTATCTAACGGCGTGCTATCTTAATTGTCTTCCTGCTGTGTCACGGTAAAATTGATACGGAGCCGGAAACATGGTTATGCGAGCGTCGTGTTGACCGAACTCGGGTGTAGGAGCATAAATTATTCATACAAGTGTGAGCGGTTAGAGGGTAGGCGGGGAGGACGGCGGCAAGTACGGGTCGGAACACAGTGGCAATATTGTTCGGCCGCTATAAAGCATCCTAAAAAGCATTAAATATGTTTGTCGTACGTCGGTAGTGCCGTCAAATCGATGTCGCCCGTCTAAATATTGAACTTTATCGATAACTGGCAGGATGAGTAATGTATAGACGGAAAAGTAACGATAAATATATATTTTTCGGTATCTACTTTCGATCGCGCGTTTCGCTTTTAGTGGCGGACAGTCGCGCCTGAAAGCGCACTAATTACGCGGAACTCTCGCGGCAACGCGATTACAGCCGCGATCATATCGATCGCGTGGTGCTTCCGTTCGACGGTCTCGAATTTCAACCAGTCTACAGGGCCAACTTCGCCGCGCGCCGTGATATTCGTTGTATGTAAACATTCCGGCACTCGGAATCGCCCCGACTCTCTCTCTCTCTCTCTC